GGTTTCTCTCCCTGTATACTCCGTATACTCGAATAATCCGTCAATAACGGTCTTTCGAAATTCCTACAGCATGCATTTGAATCAGCAATTTGGACATAAAAATAAATTAAAAAATTTAGAAAAATGGTAAATATAAAAGAGAAAGAGGAGAAGAGAAAATACCATTCATTTTATCGACACGCTGTTCGATCAATTTTTCCTAAACATTTAAAATTCTACTTTGAAACACTTTTAACATTCGTAAATTTTCTGGTATATTTATAAGTTGCTAGTATTTTTCCTCACTTAATATAAATAATCTGTATCAACATTCGTAGGAATCCCACGATAAAATGTTTTTCAATAGGGGACTGATTTTGATCTTCTTCTTGTCCAGATAACCCAGTCAAGGCTTCCTGATACTATTGGTAACAAAGTTTTCAATTTGGTTCCTTACTTTCTTCTACAAACTGTCGTTGCATATAATCCTTGATATTAAATTTACACGACGGTAGAAGATCAATATAACAAAAAGATAAATAACTAAATTTGCAAAGTCTGTTATAGAGAACAAAAGAATTAGATCTTTATAGAATCAGACATAAGATTGTTCAAATCGTTCAGAAATAACAAAACAATGCATAGCACACGTGACTTTTTACATTTACCGCAGCTTATTGTAAGGCATGCACGAAAGCTAAATGTCAGAAAATATATTTTACTTCTAGACATCCAAACGATAAACTGCGACAATGATTTGTACGAAACTATGCAATACTTTACTAGCCTCGAAATAAAACGCAGTAGAACAATAGTATCGGTTCAAATCTAGCGTCTATTACGAGTGATCCGACAATTTCCTTTGCTAAAGTTGTCCTTCGTGGTTTCCTAGTACAGTAGCGTAACAGGTACAGATGTCGTGGGCACGCCGTCGCATTATGCAAAAACGAGAGAGAGACAGAGAGAGACAGAGAGAGATGCGATTTCTACGAATAACATACCGCTAACAACAATAATTCCGTAAACCGATTCTCTTACTGATTCTGCTGTTTTTAACGTAGCAATGTATGTGTAAATACAGCATGTTCGGTTTAGATACATTTTGGCCACTTTTTTTGAGATATTAATACAAACAAATTTTGCATGTGATATTTAGTAGAATATTCAAATACGTGTGAAAAACGTAAAACGAAGTTGTATATGGTATTGTCATCCCTGTCGGTTTTGTATAGCACGAATGACATTTTTCGAATTTGTCATGAAGTTATGACACAACAAATGTTTCTTGTTCGAAGTTGTACGAATTTCACTTTCTTTTTAATAGTGAATTACATTATGATATAGTAAATATCCTATACCTCTTACAGCGATCATATTATCACATAGGAATTTCGCCTTGATAAACTTACGTATTCCCTATAATTATATCTGAGGTACTTGTTAAGAATAAACTCTTTCCTTTATTTTCAAATCACTGCGAGAAAAGAAAAAGCTTTCAATAAGGAAAGATATATTCATATGCCTCAAATACGTTGTGTATTTATATTCAACCTTGAATAAATAGATTATTATTCAAATTTATATTTCACAAATATTTTCGAGTGCACCGTGATATATATATGCCCAATAAATTAACATCGATAAAGGTATGTAGTTTCATTCAAAAACGACAGATTGATGTTAAAAATATTTATAAGGGAAGAATTATGTGAATATATTTAAACTGCATATGTATTGTATAGGCACATATCATTCGGTGGAAATCAGAAGCATTATTGGTTGCTTCGCTATGGCTGATTCACCAAAAAATTGACAATGGTAAAAATTAGATCGATTGAATAAACGAGACCACAAAGAAATTCGTTTTAAAAATATCGGTTTCCGCTTCTATGGGTTACGATATCGCGATGCGTAACTTAGAAAAGATTTAGAACCAGAAGAACAAATACAAAAACCTTATATTCCCCATTTTTTTCAACTTATCAGCAATTGTTCTGTCTAAATAAATGAATTGCATATAAACATATTTGTCTCTCCTACACTTTTTTCCCAATTCTGTTTATCATAAAATACGATGAACAAAAAATCGTAAAGCAACTCACCCGTGGCGAGAAAGACTCTCAGTAGCTGGTTGCACGGATGTGGTTACAGACATGTTGTTATTTTGATGCGTTACAACTGCAATAGAAAGAGAATCCGCATTAATTGGCATGTACTCAAGGGAGTAATCAAGGACGTGAAAGAAAAGAATCCCCGAGAGAATTCCACAATATGTAAACAAGGCTCGCTGGAAATCCGTTGATAGGAAAGGAAAGGTCTTCAAGTTGACGAACGAATATAGTATGTGGAACACACGAACGCGAATTGCGAAGGACATCCACGATAAGTTTCACCGTCGATCTTTCACCTTGGCACGAAATAGCCACTTTTACTTTCCCCGTGAGAAAAGAAAGCCAAACGATCGCAGTACACGCTCTGAATCCTTTATTTTGACCAATCCGAGTTTCCACGACGTAATAGATTATGTAATTTGTTTTACAGCTATATTTCCTTACACGGAAACAATTTCTTTGTCAATAGAGCAGTGAAGGTATCGCATACGGTATAGGATATATTGACGGTTTACGAAACTAAAATTTATAACTATAGAGAAATTAAGTATATGCATATATGCATAAATAGCAACGTGAGAATAATTTTAGTGGTACAATAGAAGTTAAAATAATGTAAAGAAAATTTAAAATACTTTAAAGAATAATTTGATATATTTTGTGCCATTCTGTCTTTGCTTCAGAATGTACCATGTTAAAAGTCGTTATATTATGCGATAAAAAATCAATGTAGGAAGGACTTTATAACGGCAATAATTCTAAAATAAGATCGCAGTATGGATACAAGGTCATGAGGGAATGCCAAGGATTTTATCATTGACACAGAAAAGAAAAGCAAGGTAAGAAAATTGGTAACTTATTTGATGCCACTAAAATAAAACCGATGATTTCCCTTTAAATAATCATTTCTTACATATTTTACTTTGGTAATACTCTTAAGTCCAACTCAAAACTCGCTCGAAATAAAACGTTGACTTCATTACATGATTATTTCACTGTCTTGGTCATGAATACTTTTACCACACGCGGAAAACACGTATTTACATCTGAATGAAAGTCATTATAAGTCATTTCAAAATTAATTATCCGTTTCGTTATACGATACCTATTTCACAATTACAAATTGAACCTTTCGATTGTGCAAAATACCACGTCACACGTGGCATATGCGTACTGTTTGAGTTTTATTATGAAAAACTTTCACGTGTATCAGTCAAAAACATGTGTTTAACTCTGCTATTAACAAAAATAATTGTTAAATAAAAGGATGTTATATCTATTAGTAGTAACACCGATATTATTGTTTTTTCATAATACATATAAGATAATTACTATAAATAAATATAATTTATACGTGTGACTTATACAAATGGTTTCTTCATTAAAATTCGAATATTGAAGGTCCTATTTTCGATACGTGGTGTTGGATCAAAGTACTTTCATGCAGAAAATTCCGTCGTGGCTTAAATTTCCAATGAAACGCAAATATGACGTAGTAGGGAATATACCCGTGAACCGAACGGTTACGCGATAAAATAATGACGTAGTATGTAATCGAATTATTTATGACGTATTTTGTTACAATAATATCATGACGCATTAAATACAACTTCTTTGGGTACGGATGTTACGTTTGAGATTTTTAATTCTTCATAAATTCATTTTATACGTTGACTATAAGTAAATTGCAAATATTTACGAAGTTTCAATCGTTACAACAATGGAAAAAGTTCTTAAAAACGTACGTTTAAAATACAGTTCTACAGATATTATGTACGTGTATCTTCGCAAAAATTGCAGAGGATTATCTTAAAATTTCTAGGAAAACTTTACATAAATATCTAAAACGATTTGGAAACTTCACGTGCGTGACCCACGCACCCCAACGCGGTTTCCATAAATTCTCGATTATTCGACATAGGGAAACTTCGAAAAGTCGCGGTGGCAGGCTAACGAAATGAGTTAAAACATCGCCGTGAATGAAAATCCAACCACTTTGCCGCCTTTTACTCTTTTCACGTGACGAGCCTCTAAGATTAGTTTTTGCTTTCACCTCTTTCAGGCCATTAGTTTAGAGTTATGTTAGAGGAAAACAGGGTTTGCGAACTGCTGCCAGGTATCCCGAGATGTAGCCGAGGCACCATTCCATATGATCATGTATTTTTATTCTATCGGTAGACCAGAATAGAAGAGCCTTAAGAAAGAGGAGTGCAAGTAATGGCAGTATGGATACTATGCGGCTACCAAAGTAGTCTGAGGTCGTTGGCTACGTTCGAACTCCAATGCGTCCTCGAGTACGAAGCCAATTCTGTTTGACCCTTTGTGCTATTTTATGTAATTAAAACATCAAACTGCTAAATTAAATTTTCTAACATATTTTACGTTATGCATAATGTTTTGGTGCATAATGCTCATGATTATTCATTTCAACAAAAAGGATAAAAAGCTTTTCTCGTTTTACACATTCTCACGTTTTATTTGTTTCATTTCGAAAATGTTCTTTCGTTCATTCTTCATATTTCTTTCTCCGACGTTGTTTGAAGGAAACACGTACCCAGTAGTATGTATGTACGTCAGAGGCGGAAGCGGATGTATGTTTTACGTGGTATGCTGCTGTTCTTCACTTCTTTCACAAGTGCGCAAAGGGCTAACCTAAGTGCGTGAGTCGTGAAGGACTTTTCACCCTCGTTATCCGTGGCTTTCTTTATTTTTATTGGTTTAATTTACTTTAGAATAATTTATTTTATTCTCTCATTATTTAAATAAAATTCATCAAATCGATAGTTGTATAGTTGCTTATTGAATATTTTTTGCGAACAAAATTCTTTGTTAAATGTTGACTTGAATCTTCCGTTTAGTTTTGATCTTTCTGCACTTCAAAGTCGTCAGAATTATTTTCTTTTGGATATTTCCTGATAATTCTACAAAAAATAGTTAAGTAAAACAATTATTAAAAATTATTAAAATAATTGCTCTTCGATCAAATCTTTTCTCATTGACTTTATCTTACGATTACACAATTTTGCATCATTACAATATAGATGTACTGTATCGATACTAAATATGCCTTTTTTATCTCTATCGAATGAAACGTAAACAAAATTTATCAAATTATAAGAGACGTAGCATCAATTTTGTGAAAATTCGTCAGCTTTTGTGAAATTATTCATAATTAATTGAGGAAAAGCCATTATCTCCTATTGTCACTAATTGATGTTTTATTTAGAACAGCACTTGTCTCCAGACACCTTACACGTTCGCGTTCCGGCGAGGGGTTGAAACGAGGCCAACAACCCTCGAGGTCGTGACTGTCTCTCGGGATGCAAGGGGAGGGAGACTGAATTCGAGATATCGATCGACCTCGTCGACTACTGTGGCTAAACTCCCACGCGGATGCGTGGCTACGGAGCGAATGCGGAATCAGGTCGTTTCAACTACGATATACAGAACGGAAATACATGTTTATACACGAAATTTAATTGATATATCTTCATTTTACGATTTTCTGTTTGAAAACAGAACATGGCAAAAAAGTTTTGTTTATCGATTGCATATGTCGCATGTTTAATCAATGGAAAAATATTAATGTAATAGTCTTTAACATGTATCTAAATATATGTTATATTGTACAAAGATCATTGAATTAAAATGGTTTGTTAACAATGAATAAGTTAACCAATCAAACTTTCGTAATCACGAGAACAGATGATGAACGGATAGCTATATACAGATAATAATTATGTGAAATGAAACACGTTGTGTCCACGTTGATCGCGTGACAAGAAAATAATTGAAACTACATTGACTTTATATAATTGCAACGTTTGAATTGTTGCAAAATGGCAACATTACAAGGACCCTTCGGTTGCATAATATTCGAGCAGTGCACAAAGAGATAGAAAGATACAGTTTCCTTCTTCAATTAAACACTAAATACGGTAACGGAATCAAAATTTTCCCTGGTAAGAAAGATCATATTACAAACATCATGGCTCCCAACAAGGAATTAATATAAGAAAAATGTAAGTTACAGCCTTTGCAAATATTTATTAAAGTGAAAACAGAAAACTTAATTGTATTTTAAGATATTTTACGATAGGAAAACCGGACAATGTGATCTTCGTGAAATTCCAGGTAGAGCAGATTTTATCAGAAATAATGAGTAAAAGTCACTTTGAACTACATATATAAATTTGAACCACGAATTTAATTGTCCCTATGTTCAGTAAATCAAAAATATAACTTGTAATAACCCGAAAAATTTTACTAGAAATTTTCTTTAAAGGAATAAGAGCAATACTGCCAAACGCAAAGTTAGCCCTCCTTGTATTACCGCATTTTACGTTTTTAAAACAGCCAACGAAATGTATGAAACGACTTTGTATGAACGAAATGGTCAGGAATGTAACGAAGCGTTAACAGGATTGAGAAATTAAAATTCCACCTCTGGAATTCGCCGTCACTGGTGTAACGGGTTTCCAGCGAGCCTTTGCACAAACAAACGAACTAAGTAACATGGAGGTATGACCTCGTTCATCGTCCATCGACAATTCTTCGCAAAATTAACCACTCACTCGAGTGTCCGTTCGTCGACCGAAACACGCAACGCAAACATTTCAAACTCTCGGAACGGTACCAACGTTATAATCGAAAATCGTTAAAGAACTAATACGTTTTTCTTTTCTTTTCGATAACTATAAATATCAAAATCCCGATATTTCGATGATGAAATATTATAGCATTTGCTATTATAGCATTTGAAAAAGTTTGTATGGCAATAGTAGTTAGATTGCCGACACGAAACGGTTAAAACTTTCGTCGATACACGACTGTTGGGCGTTAGACAGAAGAACCAATCTGAAGTTAGTCACGCAGCTCAACGTCCAGAGTATTGATTCCCATGCTACGTTCTTTTCTTCGCTTTCTTTGCATGTGTCGCTTCTGCCTCCCCTCTCCGCGGTGAAACCACCCTTTTTATTACATTCTTACTTTTCAAAACGAAACTCTGCCACTTTCTGTGCAAACGAACATCACGAACACGTTCGACGTGAAAAGAAAATCTTGCTGCTTGTCGTGCTTTCTTAAAAGGAAGGCATGGTGAAAGCATGGTCGAGTGCGATCTTCCAACACAAAGAAAGCGAAGACCAAAGAACTTTATTATAAACGCCGCATCACACTTTGTTTCGACATTCGTGTTTCATCGCATCGAACATCAGTCCGAACTTTCTTACACACAGATTTTCATGCACACTGTTTTTCTAACACAATTGCAACGCGATCTGCGGCACTTGTAATGCGGATTAGCGTACGCATGGTAACGTGTAGAATCTGTATAACTTACATTTCGCAGAGAAAACTGGACGGCAGACGAAGTATAACGGTATTCGCACTGTCTTTCACTTGATTCTCGAACTTTGATGCGATACAATGGTCAGAAATATAAAATATCGAAGCTCGACGAAAACAGACGGTTACGAATTTAGTTAAAAGATTGAAGTTAGTTAGCGAAGAAAATAAACCGTCACGACGTCAAGTTTCAAGTCTGACTGAAGATACCCACGGTCGCGCAGGGGCCTTTTATAACTGCGGTGTGGGTTGGGCAGCGTGGCAATCGCTGGACGGCGAAATAGAGGGGAGAGAGGAAAGCCGAGGCAGAAACCCCCATCTGCGCAACTAACAATAATGCAACTATGTGTATGTATATACATGTGTCTGCTTAAGCTTGCTGTGACGAGCAACAGAGGGGCAGCGATTCTCTGCGCGTGGCGCCGGCGTGTACGGGCACATGTTAATAAATAAATTATGAACAGTTAGTACGATAACGAATCTTATCTCTGATGAATTCTAGAGGCCCAATACCCAATGTCCATGCAGATAGCGTAAAAATACTGATCTTCGCATTCCGTAAACAAAGTTTTAAAATTTCATTTAAAAATACATTATATTTTATACTATTAGAGTTTTACAATATTATCTTTTTGTGCATTCTGAATTTCCAATTTTGCGTAGGTTTAGCTGTACAGAGCAGAAGTATGCAACCGAATACCAACAGATCCCGAATACAGCTGGATGCAAGAACTCTAGAGAACGAAAGGCGTTTGTCACGTGTTTATACACCCTTTCAAATTGTGTGGAGAAGAAGAGAAACGTAGGTTTATCTTTAACGTTAAAATGTCACCGCCCTCGGTGTTGCATTTATAAGCGAGCGTACGTTGAGCCACCTTTGCAGATTAGACGCGACAGAGATTCTCAGTTCAGCGTTACATTATTGGTTATCTATATCGACTTTCTATAATCTTCATGTTTTCTGCATTTAAAAGGACAAAGAAAAGAATAAATTCTCCCTTTTCACACGAATCATTCGTACACACGTGCTCGTTACAAAGATTGAAATTACTTATATTTATATTAACTGCACTATTTCCACTATGAATACTGACATCTCGAGACATTTTCCATTCAGCCTAAAATGTCGGATCCCAATTTTTGTTTTTCTTTTCGATTTGTTAAATTAGTATTACGAGAAACGTGTATTTTTATTAAATTCAAGATTCTTAATTTATTCTCATCAGTTTTGATGAAAACATTGTTACGAACATACGATAATATAAACTACAATATAAATAAAAATCGTTTAATCTCTCTCCTCTACGAACTCCTCTAGTAAAGAATATCGATCATCCAGTTGCAGTTTATCAACAATAATTATACATTTATGGGAAATCTAAATGTGTAAAGATATACAAAATGTGCATAATATGCAAAAATCATATGCAAAAATACTCAAAGTAAAATATTTGTCATAAGTTATAATATTAGAAAATGAGACAAATCTGTATTTGGTTACAATACAATGGCTATATAAGAAGCCGGATGATACAAGCAGTTAAACTTAAATATTCAAAATAAACACCAGATTTATTTATACACTGTTTAAGAGAGACCACCCCATTATGATTTATGCATGAATCATTCAAAGAATGCCGAATCATATTAGAGTAATCGGATGTAATGAAAGTCTTGGTGTGTATGCATTCTCGCGTTGGTTGATAAAAAAAATGCATAAGCCAAAAGTTACATGGATCTAGCATGTATGAACAATTCCAAGGAAATCGTGGGCGTTTTCGATCAACGTGGGTCTGTTCATTTTGTAGAATGTAAGTGAGAAAGATTGAATTGATACGGTATAAATAAGCATAATGATAATTTATAATGCCGATTTTAATGCTTTATTTAACATAATTGACATATGGGACTGCTTTTAGTAAAATGCTTATCTTAGGAAAGAGTTTCGTATATATATATATATATTGTATATGAAGTACTTTCTTGTTTTCCAATAATGTTGCGTTTATGCAACTTATACATATTATTTCATCCTTTATCCTTAATGGATTGAAAACGAAGTCTCTTACACTAAAAGAGTTATTATTCTATATAGAGTTATTACTCTATATTTTAAGAATCCCTTTCAGACGATTAGATCGTATTCTTATTCAGATTTCTCTAAAATAGTCTTGAAACTTATATACACTTTTCTGCATGTCTATGCTTTGACTTATAGATATCTACGTCTTTTCACGATCCAACTGCAACATTTTTAGTATTTACTCGTAGCTGGCGTTGCCCCCAACGTGTGAAATATATTTTTTAGGTCCAGGTTAAGAATAGCATAGGGATGAATGAGCTTTCCTCGTCGATGTTTTTGGCATTCGTGACTTTTTCACCTACGTGTACACGTCAGCACAGATTCCGTGCGTACAAACGTCCTGCAAAGGTTAGAAGTTTCCTTGTTGCGTCGCGTCGACCCAATTGTGCATCCAATCACGCGCTATCCTGAGAGATTTCACCTTTCTAATAACGTCGTTCGACAACCCTCGACTGACTTGTAGGTGGTTTGAAACATCTCTTGACGTCTGGACGTATCCGTGATTATGATTTAGTCACACAGTGGGGTAGTTCGATGTAAAAAAACAGACGCATGTGTATAAGCAATTTGCGTAGCACACACGCATTTCGGAGATTGTAGGATTGAAGGTCACCAGAAAAATCTTGCACACGTGGAATCAGACGACTGTACGATATCTTAGCTAGCACGTGTCGCTTTTGACAGATATGAATCCACGAGTTACAGATTAGTTGAGAGAAGAGCGCGGAAAAATTGTATCTTGCTTGCTAATTGGATGAAGCGCCGCTCCGGTTTAATCCGACGCAACCGACGCTGATGATGGCTGCCAAATCACGCCCACGTGTGATTTCGCCGACGCCAGTTGAATCTCACGGTGCTGCTGTTTCTGTTTGAGTAGTCAGTTTCACTGCTCTGTTAGGCTTTGGTCAGTTTGAGTTTTCAAGAGATTGTGTTGGTTCGAAAGCTTTTTATAACCGCATATCAAATGGTTTATTTGAATTTTCCAATACATTTGTTTGCCAGATTAATTTTCCATTTTTTATTTACGCTTGATATCGCTATCACTTAATGAACATACACATACAAACACTTTCGAAATAAGCAGCTCCATTAAAATGTCCATCAATTAATCTCATCGTTTTACAGAACTATCTATTAGTTAAAATTTATTTCTACGACATGCAAAGATGTGTTAATACGAAAAAAAATGCATGCTTAATGTGTTAAATCTACTTTATATTGTATAAGAAATGTCTATCCTATTCCATTGGAATAATGGAATTTACTTTATATGTAAAATGATCATTGTGGAGAGAGAGAGAGAGAGAGAGAGAGAGAGAGAGAGAGAGGAACAGAGAGAGTTATTCTATTGTGCACAAAGAAAATTAATCTACTATTGCACTGATAATAATTTAATAATTTATAAGATCTAAATAATCAACGCACAAGTCTAAATTGATGAACAAACGTAAATATCATTTGAGTATGAAGAATAACATTTGCAAAACTGTCAAAATCTATCTTTCATCATATCATCATATCATAACATTCGTTCAAATAAATTATTGTGCTTGATCTAATGAAATCACTCTATTTTATCCAGAAAAAGAATCTTATTTTGTTATGCAACGGAAATGTACAAAGAAACAAATAAATCTATTTACAACGAAATTGTCTAGAAATAATACAATAACATCAATGGTGTGCAATAGCAAAATTAAGTAAATAAATTTGTTTTTTCGTAATGTGTATGCTCTGTACCAGAGCGGGTTACAATATAATAATAACAATGATAATAATAATAAATAATTCGACCGCGTACTCGAACACTTAATTATAAATGTTTGGAAAACACTTGCGTCACGCTAACTCTAGGTTACTGACTTATGTAAATTTCAAGAATAACGCAACAGTCACATATACACAGCTAACGGCGATCGTTTATGCTCGTTTGCGATAAAGACGACGCAATTATCTTTAATGTTTAATAAATACCCGCATTTTGCATCGATTTTTATGAACGAATGATTACCAATAGTGGTACGTGGCGTCGTTGCAATCCGGGAATATTCCAAGAAATCGTCAACATAATCACGTTATTAATGATACTATAGTTACGTTTTAATCGTTATCAATGACTGGTCTCCTTTTGTGTCCTATCAGGTGAATGAAGTTAGCGATGCAAGCTATTTTTGTTTCGCAATTGTGGCAAAGTGAACGCGAATATAGTAAAAATTAAAAGTTAAATAGAGTAATAACATTATGGTGCGAATCGTACACGATAGAGATCAGATATTATTCGATATCTTTTACGTGAGTAAAAGATAGGTTTCTAAGATACTTGGGATGTTTGATGAAACAAGGAGAAGAGCCTTAGTATTTAGTTGTTAAACGAACAAATTAAAAATTAAGAATTGATGATCTTATGATCAATCGTAAGAATTATCAAATAAAAATTTTGAATTGACAGTGCATAAAAATTCGCTTGGTATAACAGATTAAATAGAGGAAATATTTTCAATAACAAACGTGTTTTCCATTGTTTGACACGATATGCTACGCGTACGAAGCAACTGTCATCGTTTCATCATAATATCAAAAATAACATAATTTTCGAGCGCAGCCAACACCTGCTTCCTTATTTCTCAGAGGAATAATTAGTTTACACGTTGTTAATCAGTCGCGTCGATCGTGTTATCGTTATCGTTCACGGCGAGCAATTGTTTAAACAACATCGTTCGAACCAGGAATCACGCAGCCTCGGAATTTTTAATGCAAACGCGCTGCTGACGTCAGTATCGAATTATTCTCGATAATTCAACAGTAGTACGTATGAATTACGTACGACACACAGAAATCGCATATTGTGCCATAAAACTAACGGGCATGACGTGAGAGTTGCGTGTTGAAAAATCTATGTACACATCGAGATTCTTGTGACAATTGATAAACCTTTGTGTAACGACTTAGGATTGAGTAACACGCGGGGTTTGTTGAATAATTTCATGATGATCAGAGTGAGAAATGATTTAATTAGATATGTAAATATAAAACTAAAGAAAATAAATATAGAACTTTCAATATCCGAGCATCTACTGTCCATTTGCTATACGTTCCACTATTCGAACGTTTCATTATTTGAATGTTCGAAATATAAAATTATTGTGATATGCGTTAATATGAAAATAGTAGGGATGTGCGGATACCTGAGGCTGTGGTCTGGTCGGATGGGATTCTGAAAGTTTGCCTGACACATAAAAATGTTCGAGTGCACGTAATTTCAGGATCCGATATTGCATTCGGGGCATGGTTTTCTGTCTTACTTTAAATTAGATCTCAAAATATCAAATAGTAAACATACGATGTTACAAATATGGACAATGGCAAGAGAAATAAGAATTCTAAATTCATTCTGAAAAGTTAGAATGGTTTGAAATCTTCTTTTTCCTAAAAAAAAAACTTAGATAATAAGTAAAAAATAAACTAATTGTAGACAAGAAATGGAATATATTCCTTAATTTTCGTCGGTTGTATATCTTTTAAAACCGACTCGTAGAAAGCACTGGCATTTCCACGAGTTCTCGGTGAACAACTTATTCGACAGACTTACATATGCACCAGGGCCTGCGTAACTCTAACGCAAATATCACATGCTTGCTACTCAAGCATAGAATGCAAATAAATTTAAGCAAGATAACTTGATGTAATTATTCACGATTCGTATTAACGTGTGATAATATCATGTGGATGGAGATAGTCTCGTGACTTGTGACGCGAACACTTGTACTTTTGTGCTAGGTTTATTAACTTACTAACAAGATACTGTCACTTTCGAAATCGAACATTATTAAGCCATGTATTGAATAAGCGTTAATATATGCACAGATATGAGCAAGAACGTGTATATTTAATGAAAATATGAATTAATTCAACATGTTTCAAAAATTCGGAATAAGATGAATTTGAAAAACAAATATGTTTCATATTACTCAATGTAGAACTAAAATTTGTTTTTCTTCCCATTATACTATTTTTAATTCTTACATAAAATGTTAAAATACTGTATAATTGATAAAGCTTGCTTTGAATTTTGTTCTAGTATCCTAAAGTATCTGTTGGCAATTGAATTCTCTGTTTTGTTGTACTCATTAAATTATCGATATCATTAAATTATGCTTACTTTTTACTCTTTATCGTGTCGAACAGTAAATATCATGTTTCAAATTATAAATATAAGTATATAAAAATATAGATATATAAAATTTAACAAATCAATATGAATTACTTCATAAATTACTACGTTCACGCTTATGTAATACTTAGCCTGAATATAAATAGAAACATCAGATTAAAACAAATTTCATCATGCGACAGAAATTTGTTGTAATAGTCAAAAAACATATTTTCCTAAGTATTATAGCGCCATACTTACGTTTTTCTCTCAGGAAAATGCAGAAGAAACTCACATTACTCAATTTAGTTTAAATTAATAACGAGTAATTAAGGATGGGGGAAAACTAAAAACGTAAAAAAAAATTAAAGAGGGGGGAAAACTTACAAACGTAATAGCAATGGATGGAATATTTATTTCCAATCTCTCGTGTACCACGTGAAGAATACGAATAGAGAAATGCTCAAAGATAAAATTCTTGTTGCATTCGAATATTTGAAAAGAAATGTACCTAATAAATTATTTTTTAAATTCGAAGGAGGAAAAAAGAAAAATGTTGAAAAGAAAAATGTAAAAAATACTTATGAATTCGATTCTTTTTCAGATTGTGTCGCACAATTTTAGCGTGTCACACCCATACCATGAATAAATTACAACTAAAATCATCTATGCTATCTCAACAGATCTCAAAATATATACAGGGTGGTTGGTAACTGGTGGTACAAGCAGAAAGCGGGTGATTCTACGCGAAAAAAGAAGTCGAAAATATAGAATAAAAATTTTTAGTTTGAGGCTTTTTTTTCGAGAAAATCCACTTTGAACTTTCGCTCGGTACGCGTGCACTTTATCACGTCTCGTTATAACGGATCTCACTGTAGATCGTTGTCTCGATGGAAAAATTAAAAAAATTTAAAAAAAAATTTTTATTTATTTATTTATTGATCGCGGATTCGTTTTTGGCCCTGAGACCATTGTCATTAGTGTCTAATCACCACGATTACTTGTCAATTCTAGAATATTCACACTCGTACTAATAATCATATTTGCACCAATCAATGTCTTCTCTATTGCGTAACAACAATGTGTAATCCAAATGAAGATTCGCTTTACGCCCTAATCATAATGAGAACCCGACATCTAAATAAAACTCAGGCCGTACTAACGTCGCGTAATCAATATCGTAAACACGAAGTCGCGGTCCATTCTTCGGAGGAATGTTCTCCTGGTTCCGTGGTTACCTCATTAAACAGTGTCGCAAACGATTGTTGACTGCACGTGCATACGGACGAAATATCGCGTGATCTGTGTTCTTAACGCTGTTCTTAAGTGAAGCCGGTTCGAGCCAGTCTTCAAGATGTCGAATTGCCTCCCAGTGACGTTAATCGATTAGGCCAGGTCTTGAACCAATCGCTCGAGGACCTGAGGAGAAGAATGACCAACGTTGTTCTAGAAATTACAGAACTAACCATTCACGAAAATTATTGGCGATTGAATCGCTACAAATTATCGCAACTTGATAAAAACTTCCTTGTGATGATTGCAGAAATCTGCTAAATAATACGATTATACTGTTTATAGTTATTTCTACTATGATTATAAAAGTAACTTATATCGAGTATTCCTGTAATGAGTTTGTGAAAACACTTGCGTTTTACAATCTAAAATTATCATTAAGGACTGCTTATCAATTGTTTAAATTTGATTAAACACCTATTCCCTGTTCAATATTATTTTGTAACACCCTGTATGATTTTAAATTTAACAAATAACTGTATGCGTCGTTAACAACACAACAGCGATATCTCTTCATCTCGCACCTATCTTTTACAGAAATAAAATTTCATTAAAGACATCGATGATGAATGAAGATAAAATAAACGGAGAATGGACCTCGATGAAGGGAGGAGAAAACTTAAAGGAGAAGAAGAAAGTTTACCTGTGACCGTTTTTACAACATCAATGGCGTGTTCTCACTGCACTATGACGCAAAAAAAATTAATTGCGAAAGCACGACGCGCGTGCACAAGCTTTTTGCTTGAAACACCGTGAAAATTGAAAACCGATTAATTGCGTGACGTCAGCGTTCACGATGTTAACCTAATGAAAATCTGTAGGCTGCACTTCTAAAGTTGGTTCACACTTTTATATGAAATCAATGTCGCACGATGCATTTAGTTTAAAGAAGGGAAGAGACAAAATTTCCTGTGAATCTAACAGTATTTGAACAGAAAGTTTTAAAGTTTTTAACCAATACCTTATGCACTATTTTATTTGCACTTCACTGCTTCACCTATAGGTACATAATTCTTTTTATATGTGTGCAGTAAAATCAATTTGCTATATTAGTAGCTTTTTTAATTATCGCGTTATACAAAGAATATAGCAATTTATAAAATAATGTTTTATTATTATGGGTTATATTATTATAGTATTGTAATAGAAAGAAAAACCTGATTATTGAAGATTGTTTTAAAAACACAAATATGGGATTTACTAAATATTTGTGTTATTAATTATCGTTAAGTTAACTGTAAATTCTTCTTAATTTAGGTAACAAAAATAACATTAAATACCAATAGTGATATCGATCTATGGCTTAATAGTTGATTGCATTATTTCCATTAACATTTTTTCTTTCTTTTATCTGTCAGACAAGACGATAATAGTCGTGACCAAACAATTTCAACCGAAAGAGAAGCCAGCTTCGTGAAGGCACGGTAAACACAATTACTTTACACGCTTATAAAGCTCATAAAATCGACCGTTTCGCGATACAACTATCTTTCAAAACATTAGCAATTTTACGTAACCTATTTTTTTAGCCTATTTGCAGGTAAATTCGCGCGATGATTATGATTCATCAAAGTCGTACGAGAAATGAGTTGTCCCTGAGTATTTGTACTTGTCGCTGGAACAAGGTTAACGGTTTTTCATAAGGAGTTAATGCGTGAAACGGGCATGGAATTGATTCCAACACGTTTTATTATTGTTTCTTTACTTATCGATTCATTAACATGACATTGAGAGTTATTTATTAAAACTTTTGAATGAAGTATTGAGAAACTGTATCGATGGTTACTATGAAATTAATTCACCTACTTTTCCTATTAAATGTGATTAGTCTTCCCTTCGTATCTCATTTTTCTAATAAATCAAAAAAAGTGACAAGGTGCAAGAAAGAAACAAGTATTTGAAGCCAAATAAAAGATAAATAGAAACGCAGTTTTAAAAATGTAACTTGTTTCTTCCATTCAATAGTGCTAAATTCTTGACTCCTTTTCCTTTTTATGGTTATCTAGTGGAAACATGGAATCGAAGGATGGAATTTATTCGCGTAATGAAAAATTTTGTTTCTGGTACATATTGCCGATAACCTAAATGCATGGCATGGACTACATTAAGAAACTGAAAACTGATTTAAAAATAAATAGAATTGCGTTCTAATCTTAATAATTTCATCTCTTAGATTTTAAGTTTGTTTCTTTAATTTCTGTAACACTGCTCATGTTAATAAATTTCTTTAATAATCTACGTTTTATACTTTTTAACATATACCTAATAGATGATAGATATATTTATGTACGGAGGATTAACAGTAACCCCTATATCGCAGATATATTATGTACTGTATATTATTCCCTATCCTAAAAGATAATAGCATAAGACTAAATTATGATATAAACAATATCTGTCATTTTGGGAAGTAACTTGCAAGAAGAAAAATGGAAATCGATAGTCGACAGACAAAAAATCGTTCTTACAAGATAATTGGCCGATTAGCATACTTGCTTAGGAATGTCCTTGCTTACAGGGATATCGAGGGTAATAATTTAAACTGATGTAATTCGATGGAACCGTGCGTAAAGGAGGATAATTGTAAACCCAGCCAGTTTGATGGCCAAACATTATCGGTAGATTTTTATTTTTAATAGTTATTTTATTATAAAAATTTATTGTTATATTAATAACAATTTACTGTTAATATTTTGTTGCCGCTGCAATCGCCGTTGCAATGCATTTCGTGTAATGCGTGTGATGATAGTTTTATTAAAATATAACCATATCTGGAGGAAATATTGTTGCGAATACTCAATTTGATAAACAACAAGAAAAATAAAAAACTTTTCAATTTTAGAACCGTTCATTTTTATATATAATCGTTTATTTTTTTTCATCTTTTACACCACAACAAAATAAACTTTTAAAATATAAAATATATTTTAGGATACGTGTGGTAGGATCTAAATAACAATTTACACTTCGCTACAAATTACCTTATAGGAATGTATGCCTGGTAATGTATAATTTATGAGTTTATAATGTTGAATTACATGATTTTGCGTCTGTTTCCATTATAACAAGTTTACACTGGTTTTAATTGAAGTGCCTTCTGTTGCAGTGAATCAACCATGGCTTAAACGAATATTATGCGAAGGCACAATATGTTACATTAGCTCACAAATCATTCAAATAATGTTTCTAGAGTATGAGAAAAAAAGAAGAAAACTTGTAAAAAAATTTTTAGGCAATTGGGGCAAGTTGTAAGGCAATTTTTTCGTGTTCTGTATAAACCTCCGATATTCTTTTAGTATTAAATTAGAATAAAATCATTGTTACGTCGCGAAATGGTCCGTGCGACGTCCTGCAGTGTCTGACCGTCAGAGCCCAAGCCCCATTCGACAGACCCTCGATAAACCTAAGGCCCCACCATAAAACGAATCTTATTAGCTTGCAGGAACCTTTAATCTTGCAAGTATTTGCGGTTTATAACTGGTATTTAAAACAGTCTTTAGGTCTATTGCACGTTCTTACAAATTACGGAAAAAGCGGATGAGTGTCTAACGGAAAAGTCGGGTTTTCCCATGCACAAGTCACCCCCGAGCCACGTCGGTAGGCTTCCTCCTCCAATCTCTACTTTTTAATATTGGTGTTACGTCGGGCGATACTCTACCTACACCAGGCCACACACCACGGGCAAGATG